GAAAGTGTTCAAATCTCTAAAGAGTCAAAAGTCATTTATGGGTAGTATATCTATTCTATTTCTCACGAAATAACAATTAAAGAATTTTTTGTAAAACTTACAACTAGAGAATTATCTCCAGATTGTAATATAGATATAATAAACTCTGAGGCAATAAAATATGTTGAGATAAGCAAAGCACAGAATGTGATAGCAAATCAAGTCAGTATCAATTATAATATCATAGAAGTTACAACAAGTATAGGAATATATATACATTATTGACTCAAAACAAAAAATTCAAATTTTAATTCAGAACAGCAACAAAATATATTTACAATTCTAATGCAAAATGCATGCCGAACTCAGCTATATTTTTCAACCTTTGTACAATCAGAAAAATTGAATCATAAACAAAAATTACTTAGTGATATTGTTGAATAGATTCAAAATCGTAGTGAAGGATAGTCTACTCAGTCATATGCTAATACACAAGAAAAACAATTTGTTACTAGTTTGACTAAAATTATTTGGTATATTGATATGCATGATCACCAGAAATTCAAAAATCATAGTTATCACATACCTGAGCTTTTTCTTGAGTTTTTTGGCTACGCAAGTCAGAATCATATAAGTATTCACAAAAATTCTTTGACGCAAACAAATTATATTTACATTGTCAAGCTCTTGCTTCATATGCTACTTCGTCATGGATATTAAAAGATAATTTAATTGGCTTTGTAATGCATTTGATAAATTTATAGTTACTATTTCTAACTATATAGAATTTTTGCACAAACAACAGAACATTACTGCTATAAATTTAGCATCATAAACCCTATATGAACTGTTGATCAGGCTACAACAGTTCAAATCCATAAGTATAATATTTGGATAATGCCTGTAGATAAAACCAAATATTATCAGCTTAAACAGTTACTTAATAATATACAATTGTGGAAGCCGATCGATCTTGAAGAATTTCCTCTAACCAATTCTGTATATATAATAGTGCTCAGCACAATCAAACAAATTTTACTGTCAAATACTTGTGATTAAGTTGGACATCAAACAATTGCAGATTAATCAATACTATATATATATATATATATGTATAGTATTGGTTAATTTGCGATTGTTTGATATCTGACTTAATCACAAGTATTTGACAGTCAAATTTTTATTTGATT